GAATATTCAACATCAAGAAAGCTGTGGACTTCTTGGTGGAGGCATGGGATCAGCTGTCTGTAGCAACTGTTCGTCACGCATGGAGACATGTGTTGCAAGGCATTCCAGCCGTTAGGCAGAGTCAATATGTGACTGGTGAGGTTCAGACTGTTGCAGTAGCAGTGGACCTTGCCAGAGAAGCTGCACAGTGTTACAGCTGCAGGCTTCTCTGAGACCACCAATGACGACATCCTGGAGGTGATAAGGGATCCTGATGTGACTACCGACGAGATGGTAGATGATGATGACGTCAGTGAAGTGGCAGGTGGTGCGTCATCCCAAGAAGAACGCCGCTTATCCCACAGTAATGTTAGGGGTGCCATCGAGTGTATCGAGAAAGTCAAGCTCCTCCTTTCCGACGACCCTGACGCAAACAGGTATGAAATCTTCACTACCCAGCTGTTGCAGACTATGGAGCTCTACTTCAAGGTTTATCACGACAACATAAACACCAGCCGTCAGCAAAGCATAACAGAGTTCTTCGCCCGCAACCCACCACAGCCAGCCCAAGCCAGTGATAGTGACAGAGGTAGAGACAGTGAAGATGACTTTGAGGGATTTGTCAGGGAGGCCCTGACAAGTGTGGATGACAGTGATGGTGACTCACCTGAGGGCCAGTAGCCTGCCCTCTGCCTCGGAACCAGCCTCCATCCCCGTATGCCGACCCATCTCTTCTACTAACGTAAGTGTTAAACCTAACTTTTAGTTTTCCTAACCTAACCTTTATTTTTCCTAACTTAACCTTTATTTTTCCTAACCTAACCTCTTCTATATTAATTGTGCGTGCATACGATCATAAAGTTAAGATAAAATTTTTACTACAACATAGTTGTGTGTCGTCAAAAAGTGGAGTTTGGGGGTCGGCCCGGTCTCTATTTCAATTAATCCCATATGTTATGTTGTTCACTTTACGCGTTTCTCACTTTCTGCGGTACCCTGTGGGTTGTATTAACCGCTTAAAGTGAGGGTTGAATGTATTGTTATTTTTCAACTCGTAATTTCGAGTAGATATAATTATTTTTATTCAATTTCTCTTTCTGTGTTACATCACACACAATTGTTCATACAGAAATGAAAACAAAACAAAACAGTAGTTAGTGTACAATCATGGGAAGGGAACGAGGCAACGGAAGGGTGGGTGTGGGGGAGTGAAAGGATGGATGCTTGGTAGGGGGGTGGTAGGTGTGGGTGGTGTAAGGTTGTGATGGTCATTGTAGGGGGGAACGGGAGGGGATTGCGGGTGGTGTTAGGCACAAGTGTACCCCAATAACCAACACGTATTGGGACTGGAAGAAGTCGCTGGTTAGTGAATCAACAGTTATCGACGTAATTAATCCCATAAGAACATAACAAATTCAGGGGTTTAGGGACTGGCCACCCTCCAAAACCTCCCATCTACCCTTGATATATCTTTGTCGTGCACACTGTCAAGCAAGAAGATAATGCAAACATATAAATTGAGACTGTTATGTACCTGTGTTGAGGATGGTAGAGATGGTCTAGGGTGGCAAGTTCAAGTTTCTACCAATCATTGCTGGTCCATCACCACTCTTATTATGCCTTATTACACTTTTATCACATCACCTCAAATTGCCCAACACAAGAGGAACTATCACGGGCATTTTGGCATGATTGAGTAGCACACTGAAGGAGGCAACACACTGGGCACTTTTTCTCACAACGTGTTTGGCAAACATGGTCCAACCAGCAAAACAAAGAGACTTTTGCATCACTCTGATATGTTTTGTTGGCGCATCTCATTACTGCAGATGAAACATTGTAGAATTGTGCTATAGTGTAGTTCTTCAGTTGCTGAAGCAAGTGAGGCGTCTGCAAAAGCCAAAGAAAAAACACTGGGTGCGTCTTGAAGTTTCTTTAAATGGGACAGCGGCTGGCTCGTCAAATAAGACCCTGAATAATGATTTAATAAAACTAAAGAAGTTTTGAAGTGACAAATAAATATAAGCATATTGCAGTTTTGTGTGTGCTATATTTTAAATTATTATTGTTTTGTGATTTATTTCAAATTTTACTTGAATATTCAGCACCTAATATGAAGCTCATTTGAGCACTAACTCGGCCAGCAAAGCTCACCACCAAATCATTGTCCATATCTTGCAACAGCTGAAATTCTGCTGCTTGCTGGGCTGTCAGGCCAGCAGCCAGCAAAATGTGTAACATGTTTGTTAGGAGGAAAGTGCCCAGTGTGCCGCTGCCTTAAGTAAAAAAAAAACATGAAGTCAGAGACACATAGTAAGTGTAAACAAGAGCAAAGATGGCGGGAATGAGTCAGGGCATTGCACAGAGCCCTTCGATGGCAAGAATTTGCACCATGCCACCACCTACCAAATTCAAAACAGCTCTACTAATTGTCAGATTTCTGGGTTATTAAAGAAACCTCTGGTTTATTTCCCCTGTATGTAATTGACGGTTAGAATTTTTTCGTAAGATGGCAGGTTAATGGGTAAAAAAATGCTTTAATTCACTATGGTAATTATATTTTTAAATACATTAGGCCAAAAAGTGGAAAAATTAAGGGTTAAAGTTGCTAAAAAGTCACGTGACTGAAAAGCTCTGTGATTGGTTGTGACGTCACTGGTTCCCTTGAGCTGCAGAGAAGGAGAGGCAGCCAGCTGTGGTGTATATCCATTAGTACAGTGGTCCCTCGGTTAACGAACACAATTTGTTCCAGAAGGTCGTTCGTTAACCGAAAATTTCGTTAACCAAAACCATTGTTTCAATGGGATATTGGGTAATTGGTTCCAGCTCACAGAAAAGTACATACAAAGTAAAGCCAAAAATGCATAAAGTCAGAAACACTCCTAAAATTCCCCTAAATCGCCCTTAAATCACTATATATATCGTATATACACACTAGAACTCTTAAATCACTACTGTAATGTGATACAGGTGATTAATTTTATCTCTTGTGCAAAATATATGATGTTTATATTCAAATTATTCCCTGTCTTGCAAGGATTTCAGCAATGCATATTATATTATCCTAACTTTAGTCTGAGATATTATATAAAATAAACATCTTAAAGCCTAAACAAAGCACGAATCTTTTGTCTGGGAAGGCAAGGAGGGAGGTTGCCAGCGAGCGTGAAGTATAATTTGTTTATTTATTTGAGATTTTGGTGTTTAGCTCATAAAATTCATAGAAATTCCCCAGCCAGAATATAATTTGCATTGCTGGAATTCTTATAAGATAGTGATTAATTTTAATATAAACAAGCTAAAATTTGCATTATACATACAAATTTTAGATGTAATTTAAGAATTTTATTAGGGAGAGCAAAAATTTTATCTTTTGTGCAAAATATATGACGTTTATATTCAAATTATTCCCTGTCTTGCAAGGATTCCAGCAATGCAAATTATATTATCCTAACTTTAGTGTGAGGTATTATTTATTTTTAAACCTGTAAACCTAGTCTTTTTCCCCAAACATTTCTCAGGAAGGTGGGGGTAGGGAGAGAGGGGTGACAGTGACATGTTTGACAGCTGGTGCCTGTGGTGTGAAGAATTTAATTGTAAATTTATGTCCTTTAGATTGAGTTTTTGTTTTTTGCTTATAAAATTTAATAGAAGTGACTGGGGGTGAATTAAATTTACATTGCTGGAATTCTTATAAGATAGCGATTAATTTGAATGTAAACATAGAAGAGATCACTGAATTGGCTGAGCACCTCCTCAGCTTATCAGCTGATGTTCAAAACAAAATGTGATTTTTGTAAGGATTTCGTTAATCAAATTTTTTTTTCGTTAACCGAATTGAAGATTCTTATGGAAGGTAATTCGTGAACCGAAATTTTGTTAACCGAGGCGTTCGTTAACTGAGGGATCACTGTATGTGTAGTTTACCAGCAAAATTATAGGACTTGTGGCCATATACAATGATGATACAAACAGGCATACCTTATTTTTAGGTTAAAATAAATTACTGCTCAAGTATTCATCGTGTGTATTTACTTGCTGGGTGCCAAAATGATGCAAAATACCGATAAAGACATCTAATTTTGGTAAATTTCTTTCATCTGCCTTGATGAACCCTGGAAGTAGTTGTCCGACTTTCTCAGCTGATCAGCTCTACATAAATATTATTAGATAATTAATTAAATGTGCTTTACTGTGCAACACAGTAGGTGTATTGTTGAATTATTATTACCTGACCTCGGTTGATCCGGCAAAACGGATAATCCGGCAAGGCTTTGGAACCAAGGGTGCCGGAAAATCGGTGGTGTACTTGTATATAATTTGACATTAAAATAAAAAAGACACTACCCCTACCCCCGACCACCATCAAGGCCAGCTTTGGACCTGACTACCACCGATTCATTATTTTTATTTTCTACTATGATCAGCCTCTCATGACATACAATTCATCATAAATAATATAAAATCATTAATTACAAAATATATACAATAACACATAATTTGTATTTTGACTGGAGAATAAAAGGATACTATATGTTGTATCGGAGGTGGCGTCTCTCCCTCCCACAACCTAACAAAAATCATTATGAGAGAAGCCATTTATTATGATGATAAATATAATAAAACAAGGTATCAAGATCAAGTTATTTACTCTATCATTTCTATTATAAAATACTGTACTGGAGACTGAGACTTGATAAAGCTTGACAGTGTGCAAGACAGAGAAATATCAAGGGTAAGTGGGAGTTTTTGGATCGTCCTTAATCTCCCAAATATGTAATATTCTTGTGGGATTTATTGCTTCAAAAACTGTTCATTGACTTTATGCAGTCCGCATATGCATCAGTTATCGAGGTATGGCTGTACATACACAGTGAGATTTTCATACATTTGCTATTAGATATTAATATTTAATAAGAATTCATATTACACAATCTGTTTTGTTTGTGTATTTTTACCATTAACAAGATAGTCATGTCATAACTACTCTGCACATTATAATAATTCTACCTTGTTGGCAGGTTCTCAGGCACCACCTCGTCCCTAAGGTTAAAGGCACGTGGCTCGTTGCTCAGCACCTACATGATAAGTTTGATGCTGTTTACGATGTGTCTGTTTTCTACGAAGGATGTGTCAGCCCAGATGGCGTCAGAGGAAATGCACCACAGTTAATAGGTAAAATTTCTTTATTTATGTAAGTACCGGTACAGTAAACTCTCGAAGATCCGGACCTGTTAAATCTTTATTTCGGAAGATTCGGGCAAAATATTTGGGGGTTCTGGGCTCAGAAGCCTCCCAAAGAAAGTAACGGTAGGTGTTTCTCCAAACCCCCTAGCTAAAAAAATAAATAATAATAATAATCTTAAGACCCAATCACATCCCTGTAATTTTTATGGGAAAAATCACCCCATTATTTACAGTTTCATTAATCACAGTGACTGAGGTATTCCTGTAAAATATTTTTAAGTGGGTACAGTACAGGTTGGGTAAATATATTTTAGTAAAATGTTATGCAGAAGTTAATTTTTTTCTGTATACTGTATAGCTTAATGTACTTGGGAACCATTTTTACTACCTAGACATTTGTATTATCTGGGCTGGGCATTTTTATTATCTGCAGGTCCCAAGGTGTTTGGTGCTGATAACAGTACTATACTATTATTATTTTGAGTGTTGATAATTTGCAGTTCACACTGTAGGTAAGAAAATGTAGTGACAGCGTTCAAAACCCATCTTACCATACAGTGTTCATATCTTGACACAAGTATTGTATCAGTATTTAATTAGTATCATATTTATATCTCAGGAGAATGTACAAGTACAGTACAAAAATAGTTGAGTTTTAATTCTTATGACCAACATTTACTCATTCTTTAAGAATATTAAAAATAAAATATTATTTAAAACTACTTTGCACCATTGTTCAGTATTTATGATCCATCTCGTAGATCAGGTTTCATTTATCACTTTGTTTATGAATTAGTTTTTTAGGTTTGTCCTCACCTGTTTTTTCTTTCTTTCTTTCCAGAATTTCTTCTGGGAAAGTGTAAAAAGGTTCATATTCACATTCGTCGTATCCCCATGACAGAGATTCCTAAGGAGGAGGAGGCACTCAAAGTCTGGTTACATGATTTATACATAGAGAAAGATGAGTAAGTAATTTTGTTTAGCATATTTTTATGATGATTAAAAATGGTTTTAGTTATAAAGAAATAACACTCATGTGGTCCGCTTGGTGGAAGGTTTGGTATATGTTACTTACTGTATGTACTGTACAGGAGTGGTGCTCATAGGTATGTCATAGTTGGATGGACAGCATAGCTTGGTACATTTAATGAAACTGTGAAGACACCCTTGGCTTCCTATGAATTTGTTATTCACCCTGTGGAATGGTGTTAGGAAGGACATTTAGCTATAAAACTGTGATTCAATGTGCTTGATAGCACCTGGTTCACCAGAGCTGTACCTATTCTTTGGTCTCTTAATGCATCTTCAGGGCTGGTGTCCTTGGTTTCTTGTGATGAGTGAGGGGTGATATTCCATTCTGGTTTTAATCAATAGTTGCCATCAGTTATATGGCTAACTCATGCAAGCGTGGAAATGCTGTAAAGCAGTAATGATAATGATGATAAGCTAGTTTGCCATCTCTCATGCATAACCAAGATTGAGTTTCCATTTCCTCCTGCTGAATCATTTGTCCACTCAGTGCAGCTTATCTCATTCTAAACTTGCTATCCAAATCTTCAAAGCATCCTCCAATTCTTTACACATTGGTGGCCTAATATGCTGGTTTCCCTCGGATATGGTTGACTGTGCATACGAGTATGCTCCCATAATTGACACACTTCAAAGTTAATATTCTCTTCAAAATTAAACATCTTTCTTTACTGTTTCTGACTTGAACATCTTGATAGGTGATGCATGTGGTAAATTCAATGAGAATTGTGGGAGTAAGAGGAAGCATCCTTTGAGTAAGCACTAGCTGAAGAAAAACAGGGAATGGTTGCCGATTATCCGGATTAAGGATCAGAACCAACATAGAGTGGCACTCAACACCCACGTAATTCAGGAGAAAATGAGATAATTATTTGAGGACATGAAGTCATTCTTCATATCCCCAAATGATGATCTTGCAAGGAGAAGACTTGCAGATAAACACTCTTTGTGCTAGCAGGGAGTAGTTTGAGAGGTTCAAGAAACAATGTGGACTGCACAATGTCAAGAGAAGTGGGGAAACCATAAGTACAGTAAGCCCTTCGCATTCATCAGGGTTATGTAGTTATAGTACCTAGATTATTGAGAAAGGGTTGAGTGGTAGGTACTTGAGATCAGACTGAACATGGGATGGAAGAGCACACATCCTCTCTCTGCAGCTGCTGAGGTGCAACTGTAGGCAATCTACCACCACACAGTTGCCACATTTTGTGCTAAGACATAACAAAGTAATGTTGCAGAATAAGTAAAATGGTTAGTTTTAGATTATGTGAGATGCAATGTTACCAAATAAGTAGGATGTGTTGCTGTACATTAAACAAAATTATGTATTTAGTATGATGTGTTTCTCCTGATTAAGTAAAGTATATTGTTGCAGACCAAGTAATACAGTAATCTCCCTGTTTGCTGAAATCAATGGTCCCCAGAACTCTCTAATAGCTGGAATTGAAATCAGCCTGGAATTTTTGCAGAAAAAAATTTCTCAATTCTGGGTCTGTGAACAAATGAGACACCACATGTCAGTCGCACGGGTGGGAAAACCACATGGATAACTTGGGACGTAAGCTCACATGCTGCAAATGACTAATACTATACTGTTATGTGACAGTATGTGATAGGCTGATGCATCTCCCAGATTATCCCCTCTAAGCCTAGCAACTAGCATCATGACACTCTTAAGTCATAGTCCTCTGCCATTGTACAAGGTTGATCCCTCACTCATTGCTGTTTTTGCATAAATTTACTTTGTGCAGTACTGGACTGTACATTACAATACCAGGTCACGATCAACCATGAATACAGTGTTAAAGCAGTGTTAAGATGTAAAAATTGATTTCAGTTACGAATACTGTACCGTACATTCAATAAGTGTGAAAGTACCATATGGCCAGGAAAGGGGAAAAATAAGAGCACCTTAGCTTTCGTCTTTATTCAAGACATCATTCTTCTGGTCATGAGACCCACTAATTCTCCACCCTGACAATGGGTGGCATAACAATGCATCAGAAAAATTGTAACGAAACCACTAATCCCCCACCCCACCTTTACCGTAAATGAGAGAAGAATTTATGTACAATGGGTGGCCTAACATTGCATCAGAAGATCAGTAACATAAGACCACTAATCTCCTAACACACCTCCATTGCAACAACACTCACCACCTCCAACAACACTAACCACCACCAACACAACTCACCACCTCCAACAACAACCACCACCAACTACAACGCTAACCACCACCAACAACAACACTAACAACCACCACCACCAACAACACTAACCACCTCCACCAACAACAACAACAACACTAACCATGACCACCAACAACACTAACCACCACCAACACTAACCACCATCACCACCACCAACAACACTAACCACCACCAACAACAACACTGACCGCCACCACCACCAACAACACTAACCACCACCACCACCACAACACTGACCACCACCACCAACGACAACACCAACCACCACCACCAACTACACTAACCACCACCAACAGCAACACTGACCACCACCACCAACAGCACTGACCACAACCACCAACGACAACACTAACCACCACCACCAACGACACTAACCACCACCACACTGACCACCACCAACACAGCACCAACAGCACTGACCACCACCACCAACCAGCACTGACCACCACCACCAACGCACTAACCACCACCCAATTAGCAACTGACACTGACCACCACCACCAACAGCACCACAACCACCAACGACAACACTAACCACCACCACCAACGACACTAACCACCACCACAAACTACACTAACCACCACCACCACCACCTACACTACACCCACCACCACCACCACCTACACTAACCACCACCACCACTACACTAACCACCACCACCACCTACTAACCACCACCACCTACACTAACACACCACCACCACCTACACTAACCACCACCACCTACACTAACCACCGCCCTACCACCACACCGCCACTAACCACCACACTAACCACCACCTACCACACTAAACCACCAACACTATACCACCACACTAACCACCACCACCTACACTACTACCACCACCTACACTAACCACCACCACCACTAACCACCACACCCTACACTAACCACCACACTAACCACCCACTAACCACCACCAACACTAACCACCACCAACACTAACCACCACCACCACCACCACCTCCACTCACCACCACCTCAGCTCTCACAATGGTAACTGATGCAAAATTAATATAAAGGTGATATCCCCATTAACCGGAACAATTGGTGCTGTGCACTTCCGGGAATGAGAGATTTCTGGGTAACAAGACGACTCAAAGCCAGAAAAAAATCCCTCATTCCCGGAATTTTGCTGGTAACGGAAAATTTTCTTGGAAGTTCCAGAAATTGCCTATTATAATTTAGCATCTCTCGAACCCATAAAAATATCCCTCATCCCCGGAATTTTTTGGGTAACGGAAAATGTTCTTAGAATTTTCTGGAAAATCGTTCCCAAAGCCGAAATTTTCCGGAAAATTACGGCTATCAAAGTTGATAGAGTTCCGGGTCTGAGGAATTCCGGCTAACGGAGATATTACTTTACAGTATACACCTTAATGATGTATTATGTAAATACAATGACATATACTGTACTTTATAACGACTTTTCTGCTGCCCGTAAATACCTTTGCTTGTGCTCGTGGTCTAAATGTAAGGCGAAAATGTTTATGTGACATGAGACGATGGAATGCTTAGTCTAGACTCATGGAAATTTTTCCCTTTACCCAGGAAAATTTCGGGGATGTGGGATTTTTTCCGGGTTTGAGGGAGTGTTCTGGTTACCCAGAACTCTCTCATCCAGAAATAGGTCTGCACCAATTGTTCTGGCTAACAGTGAGTTTACTGTATATGAGATTACTGATTAGCTAAGTAAGATGTGTTGCTGCAGATTCAGAGAATTGTATTGCTGTAAGTTAAGGGTAATGCATTGTTTCTAAATATGATAAAGTATTATTGGTGATTAAATAAGATGCCACAGATCAAGTAATTCAAAATTTGTTGACAGATTGGCCGAAAACTTTTTTACCAAAGATAGTGAGAAGAGAGCATCAGTCCAGAAGAGGCTCGGTGGATGTGTGTCTCATCTCAGCCCGTGGTCTACACTCTGTTCGTTCCTCTTCTTTTCGGCCGTCACCGTGCCTATAATCTGCACAAGCATCGGCCGCCAGGTCTACCTGTACCTACTAATATATGGTACACTCGGCTCGTATGGCTGGTTAGCAATACGGTCTGTTTGTTAGGGTTTAAGGAGTATCACACAAATCACGCAGGAAGACCAACAGTAAGTTGTAGCTAAATAGTGGAAGTTATTTGTTTGTGAACAAAGGAGATTAATAAAAGTAAATGTGTTACTGAAATTTTTGGGGAGTATATAGTATGTACTCTTTTGGTGATGTCTGCCAAAACTAGATTTGTCAAAATCTAAAGTCGATGTCAGTAATAGGAGTTTAACTTAAATATAAATATATTTTTATGGAGTTATCATTATGGATTATTATTATTATTATGACATATTAATGATGCTAGTGTTTTGCGACCTAATTACCCAGTAGAGGATATTCAGTTACTGCAAGTTGCAATATATTTTTTATACAGGTATACCTCGATAACTGATGCATATGCGGACTGCATAAAGTCAATGAACAGTTTTTGAAGCAATAAATCCCACAAGAATATTACATATTTGGGAGATTAAGGACGATCCAAAAACTCCCACTTACCCTTGATATTTCTCTGTCTTGCACACTGTCAAGCTCTATCAAGTCTCAGTCTCCAGTACAGTATTTTATAATAGAAATGATAGAGTAAATAACTTGATCTTGATACCTTGTTTTATTGTATTTATCATCATAATAAATGGCTTCTCTCATAATGATTTTTGTTAGGTTGTGGGAGGGAGAGACACCACCTCCGATACAACATACAGTATCCTTTTATTCTCCAGTCAAACTACAAATTATGTGTTATTGTATATATTTTGTAATTAATGATTTTATATTATTTATGATGAATTGTATGTCATGAGAGGCTGATCATAGTAGAAAATAAAAATAATGAATCAGTGGTAGTCAGGTCCAAAGCTAGGGGGAAGTGGTCAGGGTAGAAATAACCTTCTGATACAGCGTGTCCTTTTATTTTAATGTCAAATTCCATATTACAGTAGAACGTCGATTTAAAGTGTTTCAATTTAAGATTATTGATTTAAAGCGACACCCACAATTAAGGACACCAGATGTGTCTCTGGGCACACTGCATGGCTGCCCTCTACCCTCCTACATCCTCAGTTCTCTCACTGATGCTCTAGTGAACAGACATGTTGTGTGACACTATCTCCTTCTACCACGTGTATCAACCATCACCACTATGTCCAAGAGGCCAGCTATTACATCATTAACTACCCCAAAGGCCAAGAAATCAAGGCAAGCAATTACACTGGAGCAGAAAATCAAGGTGGTGGAAGCACTGCAGCGAGGAAATGGTGTTTCCCGTGTGTCAGATGTGTCCACAGCCACACCACTAGACAGTGATGTGGATGATGAGCTGGTTGAGTTGGGCTCTGCATCTTCAGAGGTTAATTGCCTAACTAAAGGTGATTGAAAATCTATTTTTGATAGCATAAAGTAATTAAAAAATAAGTTGAGAGGAAAGTGAAAGTGCTGGGTGAGTCAGGCGGGTGGTGAGTGGCACCAGTGCAACCACCCTCTCACATCAGCTGATCGGTAGTAAACAGACCATTTTGCATCCCTTAATTTTAGTGCGCATTCGGTTTAATGCAACCTCTCTTGGAATGTATCTCGTGTTATATCGACATTCTACTGTATTGTATACTGTATATCATTTTTTTTATATTTAATGTTATATTATTTATGATCAAACATACATCATAAGAGGATGATCTTATAGAAATACAATAATGAATAAATAAAAACAATCTGACAAATGCAGCACGGCCACTCCCAATGCGCCCTTACCCCCCCTCCCCCTCTTACCGCGGGAGGGGGTGAGTGGTCAGGAAGATTTAGTTTGTTTTTATTTTGAAGTCAATTTATATACTGTACTGTATTGTATTTTGTTCTATTATTTAAAACTATATATTATTTATGATGAAGCATAGACCATAATAGACTGAACGTATGAGAATATAATAATGGATACTGGAAATAAAAATAAATTGGTGAGGTGGCAACCTCCAGCATGTTGACACATGAACATCTCTTGTAACTATTAGCTCTTGTTAGGCCTATATCATATATGATTACACTACTGTAACTATCCCCATTGAAGACAATATGTACTATACTTAGAATGCTAGCCATCACTTATGGGATAAGAGGAAGTATCAATGGGGCATTTAGGCATGACTGCATAGCACACATAACACACAGAGTAGTCAGCAAAACTTGCGGGCTGTTTCCCTAATATTAAATCATCAGTTAATGGGACCTCAGTTCATGGGGGTATACCTGTACAGACCATCGTGTGAATAGGAATTTGTTAGTTCCAGAATAGATATTTACACAAGTTTCATGTAAAATTTTAGAAGTGAGTATATCTGATCTTATCTCTGACTGAATGCTGAGATAATATGTTCAAGGAACAAAGTTATATTTACAGTCTAACCCCTGGTTTGGGCAGCTCACAGATTTACAGCCAAAGCCTAAGGGTTGCAAAGCCAGGAACACACTACAGTGGTGGCTGGAACTAATTCAGTAACTACTTCATACCTTTCCATTATGATTATGTCTTATTAAAAGGTAATATTAAAAGAAACAGATGTCTTTTAAAGTTAAGGAATAATGAGTATTAACAACACATTACCATGTGCATTCCATCCCCTCATTTGTCTGTGCTACAAACTCTCTTTTCTCAAATTAGCCTTCAGTTCCAATCACCTTTTCAGACCAAGTACAGTAGTTACAACCTACCTGCTCTTTGATGTCTCATAATAGAAGCTCAGTGCAACCTCTTATCTGTAATTCACTCCATACATAATGTTTTGCTGTAGCCAGCCATACAGTCCTAAATGTTAGTAGTTCCAGTGAAGAGCATTGTTGTTGTACTGTCGCTCCAAAAAGAATCTTTATAATTTTGTATGAGACAATATGACACAAAGGACGAAGGATTTTGACAACCCTACCAAAACAACATGAGTTGCAGTGCATATTCTGAAATTTATCAGACTCTTCCGTAAATATACTTTTTGGAGCGAATGTACAGCCCCAGTTCTGTCTCTAGGTTCTGCATAAAGTGCATGTGAGTGATGGTATTCAGTGTTAGTTCTATTTGCTTTCTTTATTGCTTGTTCAAGCAATATTTCAGACACTTGTTAAACTAGAAAGGTAAAATTTTGACATAACAAGTGATCAACA